ACAGAAGCATGGGTTCTTTTTTACTTTCTGCTTAAACCATTTCAGGTTGATTGAATTTACCATAAATTTGTGATGAATTCGGGGAATGCTCGACACAAGGTAACTCTATGGGGTTTAGTAATAAAGGGGTTTTGTCGAATGTTTAATTTAAAAAAATCTTATCCCGAAGATTGATATTTCTCTGCCTGCAACACACAGAAATGATCGCTTATTTTTCTTCCTAACTTTTCTATTGTAAAAGTTGTAATAGGCAAAAAGTAGTGATAAACTGACAAAAATCTCACTTTTTGACTGAGATGTCTCTGTCAACATTATGCAGGAGTTATATATTCTTTTGATCTTACTCCTAACAAGAATGCCCATGTGAAGCGCGCGGAGAAATATGTTTGTTTTGCTCTGAATCGTTAGGAATATGTAAAGATATATTTTCTTCTTTCAAACATGATATACATTTCATTGTAAGATATACACATATACTACTGACCAATGTTCTAGTGTTAGGCTATGGCTGGTGTTTTTTGTAGGTAGATATTATAATTTTTTTCATTGAAATGATAAAGGTCATCAATTGCCTAGTATGTACTTTCCTCTTGGCACCACAGATTGGGTAAAACCAAACTAGCTTTATGAAGTAAGTCCTGCCTTTGAAAATGTACAAACAGTCTTATTATGTCCTAGATTTGGCGTGGCCCTACCAGTAAACTAAATATCTATTTGCTGTAATCGGCTTTTGAACTTTATAAGTGGAGTGCCAATATGTGACATTTTGACTTTGTTTGGCCTGAGATAAAGCCAAATCTACTAAATATGTGTATTTTGATTATTTCCATAATATATATAAAAAAAGTGTAGCTATAGCTTAGGTAAATATATCTATTTTGCAAAACGTGTTTATTACTAGTCCTTAATTAAAAGGGCAACTATCTTTACACAACACTATTATATATTCTGCTTTGGAGGAGTTACTTCCCCTTTGTATATCTATAATGCGAATGTCTTTAGTATGTTCACCACCGAATGTAGCTGTAAGGAGAGGATTTATATTCCGTCTTTGCGTATTGCAGAGTTATCTTCTATTGGGAGCAGGTATTGATTGTTACGTCACTTGTTTGTGAGAGAAACGTCATCAATTTTTGAGAAAACGACGTAATTTTCTCACACATACCAATGACGGAACAATCAATACCTGCTCCAAAGAGAAGATACCTTTGCAATACGCAAAGACGGAATAGGCAATGCCTGATATCCAATCCTGTTTTGTGTATGTGTACTAAAAAAAGCGAATAAAAGACTTTTTTCACTTCTGCAAAAAGTTCCGGTCACCTGAAACACTAGTTTAACTTGTCTTTTTGAAGGTTATTTGGTGTTAATTAAATATCAGCAAAGTTCAATTAATTTTATAATTGGTGTCATTACGTTTGGATAAACATATACTATTGACTCACTTATGTCTTTGTAAAAGCAGTCTCTATGTTAAGACATTTGTAAAAAGTGTTTCTATCAAATAGCTATTCACTATACTAAGTGGTTTTTTTCAGATCTGAATATCAATTTTACAATTTCATTTTAACTGAGCTGCATCCAAACGACATCAAATAAACATGTAGTACTGGGCGAACTAAAGTATGTTGTAAACATGCCTTCTTAAGTTTACAAGTGCATTTTTAATGGAGATACCTATATCGCTTAAAAGTTGTTGTTCAAGGGTTGGTTTGGTTTGGTTTAATTTTGTTTAACGTCCTATTAACAGCTAAGGTCATTTAAGGACGTGCATCCATGCGCGTAGTGTATGCGTGCTTGCGTGTATGTATGCAGGAGACAGGGTATGTTGGCGTGCTTGCCTCCTTGTGATGCCGACTTTATAGTGCTATCTCACTAAAATACCATGCCGAAGGCACCTAGCACAGCATTCCGCCCGGTCACATTATACTGACAACGGGTGAACCAGTTGTTGCCGTTCCCCTAAATGCTGAACGTTAAGCAGGGAATAACAACTACTATTTTGAAGGACTTTGGCATGTCCCGGCCTTGGGCCAGAACCCAGTGCTTCCCTCACCTTGGCGAACGCTCAACATTAAGGCCAAAAGTGAGGTGTTGCCATGGAAGGTGCTAGGAAATTATGCTCAAATAGAGGATACCAAAGCAAATCCCCAGTTCTGCAGGTTTTTTTTCCGCATTAGTCGCCTTCTACGATGCATGCAGTGGGTAACAGCAGGTGTATTCTCTTCCCGATTCCCCACCAGCAGGGGTGGTAGTTTCAGGGCCCTTATTCATGAATCCATACTCATGCTCAAACTCACGTTTTGTGCTCAAGCCAAATTTCTTGTTCTGATGATAAATAAATTAAGAAACATATTTTATCAATGATTTGTAAGAAGTTTGAAGACACCTCAAACTGATTATATTTTAAAATGTTCACACTTCACTTTTTCAACGTGTCAAGTGATTTAAGGTGGCTCCACACATCGTCATCAGCGTCCATTTTCGTGACGTACTTCCGGAAAAAGTACAGCTCGGACTCAATTATCTTGATCGAAATGTGCATGTACACCGTGTCGTCATTTCCGTATTGCGTATCGGGCATTCGATGTCGTTGTGCAAATTATAGTTACACCTTGGCCGTTTTCGTTTAAACTGTCAAACCGATCGGACCACTGTTGTTCGTTTATTAAATAAGGTCGGACCTAGTAATCTGATGCTGCTTTCAGGCGAGCCGTGAGAAAGCCTTGCAAGGCCTGCATATAAATTTGCAGGTCCGGCAGGATTTATACCCGAAATTGTTACATTTATAAACGGTCAAACCGGTTGCTCCGCATACACGAACAGGCCACTGGTAAACAATAGTACACGTGCGTGTCGATGATATGTCAACACCCGATATCGAGATTTTACCGGGAAATGTATAATCACACGTATTTCAGGAATAAAGCTTTCAAATTCATAGACATAAACAGACTCACTGGAAGATAGTGACATGAGACCAAACGACCTCAAGAAGGTCATAGAGGAAACGCATGGAATGCGGACGTACCGACCTCACATGTGCAACACGAGTTCATAAGCTCGAGGTCGTTACGATTTTCGCTGTTGAGGAAGTTTCGCTCTGTCGATTAAATCGTGTTTACAAATGTAGTCTACTTACTCTGTGAAAATAATGTTTTGTAAAATATCAAGATACCTATAAAATGCATGTGTGAGTGCACGTGAGAACGGCATACCATGCGATAATTTTGATATCATATCTTTGATTTATTTCCATCATTTTTGTTATATGTAAACAGGGACAACTGTCATTGTGTAAATGTCACCCCTCTGCAAAAAGTTCCGATTTTTTTCAAGGAAGATAACTCTTACCCGGATCGAAGTGATTGTAAAATGTAAAATAAATTAATTATAAAGCCATTGTGTATATTTTGTTCAATTTCCCATTCTATATGTATAGATCTTTGTGTCCTGTTGGCTTTTAGCTTGTAGATAATCACTTTTATCCGTTCAAATTCAATAAAAAACACTTTGTGTAACATGTGTTACATATTTTGCGATAAATAAAATATTTGTAGGGTTAATTAGAAATGCTTCTTTTCATTTTATTATTGTTGTTATTGTCCCGAACAATGTCACACCCAAAAAAAACCCGGAAAATATTAAAATTGACGAAAATTCAATTTTTTGGTATTTTTTCCAAAAAAGTCCCCTTACTGTCGGAGTGTTAAGATTTTCATAAAATCATCTCTACATAGTTGCATAACCATTATATGAAAGTATCAACGAATTTCGCTGGTTAATTACGAAAGTGTGGAGCCACCTTAAGCGAGTTGCAAGAAAGGTGGTTTAAGCACAGAACCCATGCTTGAGCATGAGAATACTTTCATGAATACGGGCTCAAAGGAAATGATATTGACATTTGTAGATTGTGTATGTCGATAAATCTTTGTTTTTATTTTTTGCTGTTGGTTTTTTAAAGGGATTTCAGTATTTTGCTGAAATATGGAAAACTGTCAATATTCCTTAAGTTTAAATACAGAAAAAAGCGTTAATTTGTGGAACCATCATAATTTTATTAGCAAATTAGTGCTTGAATAAGAATTAGTAATATTCTTAATCCTGTTAATTAAATGTTGACACGGTTCAAAGCGGTTTTGTGATACCTTTATTGAGTCAAAAGGTTTACATAGTTCATTTCTTTGTCAGTGCGTAGGTGAGTCCGTGCGTCCGTTAGTCCGAAGTAAAATGTTTGCGTACAAGGTATTTCTAGATCCCCGTAATAGAATTAGTATATATTTACAACATAGTATGGTTATATCAAGTTCTTCATCTTAGACTTTGTAAGTCATAGGTCATGGATCATTTGTGTACAGTCAGGTTTACATAGTTCATTTCTTTGTCAGTGCGTAGGTGAGTCCGTGCGTCCGTCAGTCCGAAGTAAAATGTTTGCGTACAAGGTAGTATTTCTAGATCCCCGTAATAGAATTAGTATATATTAACAACATAGTATGGTAATATCAAGTTCTTCATCTTAGACTTTGTAAGTCATAGGTCATGGATCATTTGTGTACAGTCACGCAATTTTGAAATCAAGAAAATATGTGTACACGATATTTAATGAGCCTCCATGTTAGGATGCACTGTAACATTGAATTCTACATCTGGTTTGCGGTCAAAGTTTATTGGGTCAAAGGTCACGCTTGAGGTGGTATGGTTACTGCTAGGCAAGAGTTTGACATCACCTGCATATAAGTTAGACAATGCTAGGTAGGTAGCCTTCCTTGCGTCCGGAAAACAATTACGATAGATTTAACAAAATTATCAATAATTATGTTGGGTAAACATAAAAAAAGAAAATCAGAAATGACCCTAGACCCTTCACCTATGAAATGTACTGAACGTAATGTATATATGAATCAGATTTAATCAATCATATATCATGCAACGACAACAGATAACAGTGTATATTAAATATAAACACAATGTAACCATCATATGTAAACCGACATGCAGTATGTGACCATTTCTTTGCATAAAGACAAAGACTTCGTATAAAATTTGATATTCATGTCATGACCACAGAACTCTCCACTTCGTGATAACACATTTGTAGCCATATCACCTGGATGTGTTCGTATGCAGCTTAGAGTAGGGGAAACACCATGTCTGCTTTAGAGAAAATGGTCAATAACAAGGAATCCGCAACGGTAAGATTTTGATAAATACCAAAATTGTTTTAATACTACATTGGGATATGTACGTTTGTTTACATCGTCTTTAAATATGCCAATTTTAAATGGTATTGATATAATATCCAATTGAAATATAGCGTTAGATATTTGATATTTATTCTTTCTTTTCGAATTCGCGATACAAGATCACTCTCATAACGATGCCCACATAAATGTTTAGCGATAAAACAGAAGACGCTAGCTGACTTTCCAAATACATTTCATATGTAAAATTCAGTTTAACATTGCATTGCATTTGAACTCACGTAGCAAAACGTATTTTTGTAGGTGTAATATAATATAAAAACTTCACTACATTGGAAACTTTGTTATTTCATTGTTATCCCAATACTTGTTCTACTTTTTATCTTAAATTAAAAAAAACATGGCAATATAACGAATCTCATATTCTCATAGGAAAACATCAGAAGTGTATATGAATGTAGTCCTAGTGTATCTCAGTCTATATTGTGAACTACTATTGCAACTCTGGATAGCAGTTAGCATATACCTATTGAAACCTATCATACCATCGTTGCCAAACAGTGATAACATGCGTAATGGCTGACCTGAAGGTAGGTCAAAAAATGGAACAAGAGGAAAGCGACAGTAATGAAAGCAAACTTTAATTTACTCAGCTTTTTGCTGCATTCAAAAAAATAGTTGTCTGCCTATTTCCTATTGTAATATTGAGAAACCTGCAGTTGGCGCCTTTGTTTATTTCTAAAGGCTTTCGAGCTTTGCATGAGAAACATTACAGTCCAAAGGCATTTTTCTTTCGATAAACATAACATTTCCTCATGTTCATGCTGACAAAAATAACTGCATACTTCTGTTGATTTTACAATAGAAAACTGTACTAGTAGTACCTGGGGAACTCTCGACACCGGGTATGGCAAGTCAAAATATTTACACCCAGATACTGGACACTACTGAAATAACATATTCGGAAGACCTCGAAAAAGAAACAGCAGTAACAGTTACAATCAACGATGGCGAAATGGTCCCGGTATCAGAAACGAAAACAACAGAAAGGCAGAAGTTTTCCGAATGCATAGCAACGTACACAGCACCGGTAACCAAGGCGACCAAAGTCATCTTTCCAGCATTATTTCTGGCGTATGTTGGATATTGTATGACAGTAGAATTCGGCTCTGAAAACTCTTTAAGACTTCTGATTGGAACAATACTGTGGTATCTCCTCCTATCGTGGAATCTGATTAAAAAGTGGAAATGGTTTGCAAACATCTATGCTGATCTACGGCAGGTTAAATGTCAGGGTAGAATGCAACTGAAGATCAGAAAATATATCCGATGGTAAGTTACTTTATATTTTCATATGGGAACAATATCATGAAACAGACACATAAAATCAATCATTAAAATTAATTGAAAATATGATTTGTAGCAAACAACAATTCACTGAACAAGGATGCTTTATTAATGGAATAAAAAATCATAATAAAAAAAGAATTTGTTTAATTTACTTTCTTTTTTGGGACATTTTTATGAAAAATTTGGATCATTATTTAGATATAATATCGCAAACTGAAGCATTATTGCATGAACATTAAGAAAGATTCCTTTATGAAATATCGTCAACCGTGTATCCATCACACGCTTCTTTGGTATCATTAATCCAATCATGAAATTTATAAATTGTTACAAGTGATCTTGAATATTCTTTGTTTTACTCATAACTTCTCAATGTTCCCTTACTGTTTTTAGTGCTATCAAACTTTTAATCTTCTGTAATCAACATGTCAACAAAACCGTTATTTATACTCAAAATCAGTAAGATTGTGCAAAATATGAACAAATGGCAGATTTACGTGGAGATAATTGAAAATGAAAATAACGCCAGGTTTTAGAAATAGAAACGTGTTTTGCTTCATCGATACTGAAGACGTCAATACCTGTCAATTCGTGTAATTTCATGTCAAAGTGAGAACCGAGATAATGACAACAAAAGACAAACATCAACTCTCTAATATGTACCTTATTCTTGAAACCTCTTAATACCGACGAGGAAATATACTGACCGTTTCTAATAGATATTTTTTTACTGTTCCGTGGTCTCATAGTGAAACAATTATCATACTTGTGAGAAATCATGTTAAAAATTTGCCAATGACCGGTCCATTCATATGTGACACCGTCTTGTATAACCTCATCATGTTCGCTTAACCCAAAGCAAACACAATGTATATTTGATAAAAGGTTTATCCTGGTTCAAATTAACATATATTTAAGATGAAAAATGTATCAAATAAAATTGCATATACTCCTGTTCAGTTTTACTCTCCTCTGCTTTACAGGGGACTGTACATCACCATGCTTGTGGTCGTTGGGTCTCTGGTTGGCACATCTATAGCGAAGGGAAACTTCAGGAATTTGGTATCTCTTGGAGGACTCATCGTTTTCCTGTTGCTGCTATACGTTACCTCCGTGGACCGCTCTAATGTAAGGGACAACATGTTGACACCCTCTCTTTAGACAGCTGTTGTATATTGTAAATACGTGTACGTGTCACTCAAATTTGTTCGAGATAGATCTATATTTTCATACAGAATTACTAGGAGAGTATCTAAACCATTTGCAAGGTTTGGAGAGTAATCCTTAAGAACAAATTGGCAGCGCCCATATTAACAAGATAAATCTTTGAGAAATAAAGAACCACTATTCCTTAAAAAAGCAATCCCTTTTTTATAGTGATACGATATTATGTCATCTTGTAACGTACATTTTGCAGCAAAATAAAACCTTAAAAGTATCTTTTAAAGTCCTGCTTTTTCGACTTTAAATGTAAAAAAATCTGATTCGAAGGTAAAATAACGAGAAAGAAATACTACAATATGCTTATCTTATAATTAATCACCTGTGGCCTACATAACGAATCATTTGTTAGATATCTGTAAATTCACAATCAAAGAATTAGCATGATCATTGATGCGTCTCTTTAATTAGATATCCTGGCACAGCGTTTTCTGGGGATTCGGGATTCAGTTTACTCTAGCTATTCTCGTGCTGTACACAAGTGGCGGGAAAGATGCGGTCGTTTGGTGCAGCAGACGACTAACTGAATTACTTGCTCATTCCGCAAAAGGGTCAGAGTTCGTCTTTGGCAAAAATTATAAGCAATTTTATTTTGCCTTTGGTGTAAGTATATTTATTCGATACCCATACACAAGGGAGTTATTTGTCTTTTGTTTCAACAATTTTTTCAAGTATATAATTGCACTTGCATAATAATGGTAATTAAGTAATGTTGTCAGTAATAAAACGAAACAAAACGACATTTCCCGAATTTTTATTACTCTGTTATGCATTTAATTACAATGTTTTGTCATTTCCTTTGGAATATCATGCAAGTATTATTTCTAAATTTCAGCAATCGCAGTTTTAGCAAACTACTCCTTTCTGAACTGTTGTTGAGCATTTCGAATTGATCATAATGTTATCGATAAAGGACATTTTTTGAGGTAAACATGTGGTTATATGGATTTAAAAAAAGCTATATAGACACAGACTGCCACCACGTGATTATGGTTGAAACAATTGGAATACAGGAAGAGATTCAGATTCGGAATCTTTATCAACCAAAAGCTCTAATGTTAGCAGCGAAAGGTTTTCAGAATCTTCTTGTGATTTTTTTAGAATATATGTATATTTTCAGCTTTTACCGAAGGTTATATTCTTCGTTGCCATGGTGAGGGTTTTGACCCACCTTGGTGTCCTCAGTTTCATCAATCGGAATTTGGGAACCTTCCTATCGTTTTGTACGGGAACGAGTAATCCGGAGTCCATATGTGCAGCAGCCAATGTATTTGTTGGCGGGGTAATGATACATCAAATCTTAACTTGTTTGTGATTTAAAAAGAAAAAAGAAAAAAATACTATTGAAAATAATGTCAATTTTTACTTTATACACAAACAATGTATGTATTAAACGTGCCGCAACGTTTAAGACCGGATTGTCCCTTTGTTAATCTCCATGCACGACTGAGTGAGCGATTTGTATTGTTTACTTGTACAACGTATGGCGAAATTGTATATGTCACTTGACCCGGGACGTTTCGCCTTATCGATAGAGAGTGTATACACAATGTGTCGAAAAGGTGCAAATATATACAAATCGCTCACTCGGACATAGCTTGACAAAGAGACCAGTCGGTCTTGACACGTTACGATACGTTTAATACGTAAACTGTTTGTGTGTACAAAGTTTTATAACATAATGCCAAACTGATGAATCTTATTGAAGCTATTGAAAATAATAGAATTAAGAAATATGCATTCAGTTTTTACACAGCATTTCATTTATTTATCTTTTTTTGTTATCATTCTTACTGAATTTATAAATGATAAATACCAAAAAAAAAAACAACACGTCATTGCTGCGACCGTGGAAACCAGAAATCAATTATGAGTATTGACAAGTTTTTCACGCTGACAGGGACAAGCTATACTCTTCATTAGGGAGTATATGGACTATCTTACTGAGTCTGAGATATTTTGTGTGTTCGTGGGAGACCTTGCTTCCATCGGTGGTGGTGCCGTGGTGCTGTACTCGGGGTATGGGGTAAGTAGCGCTATAGTTATTAAGTATCTTTTTGTGTGTATTGTCTTGTCAATAACACAGACACGTTCGGAGCTTGTATTTATGAAACCGTTCTTATGCTCAAGCATGATATTGTGCTCAAACCAAGTCCCTGTACCTTGCTTAGATTATGTTAAAGGATAAAAAAAATCAAGTAAAATAATTTACGATGGAATTCGACTTTAAGTCTCCCCAAAACTTTTCCAAATCGCTGACAATTTTTTGTGTGTGTTAATTCATCACCAAAACGAACAATTTTGCTTGAGCACAGAATCTGTGTTTTAACATGAGAATGGTTTCATGAATGCAGACCAAGAACTCAATCTTAATGCGGTAATTTATGCATATTTTTTTTTCGAAAAAAACATCAACTGATTGCTAAAGGTCTGTACCACTACAATAAAATAGTAAGTATGAATAAAAAGCCATACCTCTTATGAGAGAAAAAAACAAACAAATTTTGCGTTAACTCAAATGCCTCGAGGTCAGACCGGGAATCGAAACGTGAGTTGGCCACAGTGTAAGTGAATCAAGATCAGCGACTGATGTAGAAAAATATACAGTGTTACTGATCGCGAGCTCAGGAGGGTCCATACGATAATATAAACGCTTAGAATGGTTTCCGAATCAATCCTGTCTGTACTTCTTTGAGAAACCTTATCCATGACTACAACTATTTTGAGGAAATAAAAATCCTATTATCAAGTAGATATATACATATATGAAAAATGATCAAAACAAACACATCATATACGCACTATAATATTGCACCGGTAAACGAACAAATACGTACTAGTATTCCAAATGGATATAACTTACAATTATTAGTCTTCCATCGGTTCCCGGGGGAGGCTATATATTTTCACTCGGTCTGTCTGTATGTATGTCCGTCCGTCCCTCCGTCCGTCCGTCCGGCCTTCCGTCCGATGAGTCTGTCCGGGACATACATTCTATACTATTTCATCTTGAGTAACCAGCTTTGGTGTACAAGGAGCCTTTGAGATGGCGGAGTGCAGAGTGCAAAACGAAGATCAATATAACCTCAATGTGATCTATGCTTTGACCTTTGACCTTAACTTTTGAAAACGTCTTCTGCACTATTTTACCTGGAGTAACCAGATTTGGTGTACAAGGACATCTTAGGATGATGGAGTGCAGAGTGCAAGAATAAGGTCACTGTGACCTATGACTTGACCTTTGACCTTCACTTTTGAAACAAATTATGTCTGGGGCATATCTTCTATACCTTTTCACTTAAAGTAACCAGATTTGGTGTACAATGACATCTTGGGATGGCGGAGTGCAAAAAGTGGGTCACTCTGACCTTACTGAGACTTATTCTTATAGAAATCAGTACCGGTGGGGGACTATGGATTGCCCTGCAATACTTTACCTTGTTTATGCTGAACTACCATTGCGTTACCGGCTTCAGCCGCATATTTGTCAGCAGTGAACCGTCTCATCGTTTTATAATTCTTCGTATTGTACGAGCAAAGGATACTTGAGGTTTGCACTCTGTGTTTCACTTTATCCTTAACTTTAAACAAAGCGTGCTCATCACCGTGGCTGTTTTTATTACGCCAGTTTATAGTGAAAATTATTATTTTGAAATGTATCCAAATATAATACCTTTAAATATATTTTAAAGTTTGATTCCTGTTGTGAGCAGCTGAAACTTGCATAAATTTGATGAAATTTAAATATTCCCTCAATTTTTGATAGATTTTATCCCTGATATTCTCATGATTACTATGAAGTACAATTTGAACCAACATATTTTTCATCAAAAATATCTTACCAGTACCCAGCGTCCTTCTTAGATATTTAGTTTGTTCAAGCATGTGCTCTATTGAGAAAAAACCTACCACGACGAAATTGACTTAATATTTGATTCAACCTAATGTATGCAATCGACAACTCATAACCATGACAAGTATAATGAAAACACAAAAAAAATCTGTTTGTAGTAGCATTGGTTAAGTACTCAATAACTAAACTAAATATAAACATGTTTTGTTTTTGTTTTGTTTTGTTTTTGTTGTGGTTCGATATCTTTATATTTTTTTATTTTTTTGGTGGGGTTGAGGGCAAACCCGACATAGTCCTTAACAATGTTCTTGATTTTGTCATTTAAGATTCCGGTTCAGTATTTGATATCGGCATCAGTGTTGTCTGCACCCGCTGCCTTGGCCGCTGCTAAACTGAACTATCCCTCGCCACCCTCCCTGCCGAAAACCGACGAGAACGTCAAGAAAGACAACATTATAAGGTAGAGTATTCTGTCTTACCCAACGTCACAACTGCATACCAAATTTCAAACAAAAAAAAATTGCCAATCAGAAGCATTTGTGGACCTATCTTTAACAGTTAGGGGAAGTCCGAGTTTCCTCTGGCCCTGACACCAGACTTGACAGATAGATGTCTGTGTCTAAATCTTGTATCAGGTCGATCAAAGTTGGAGATCAAAGAAACAATTTTGTTTACCTCCCTGCAGTTGATATGTATATTTTAGAAGCAGTGCTTAAACTTGGCAGTGAAAGAGAAATAACATCATTCTAAACGTTTGTCATCACTGTTGAATGATTATGTCTACATATCTCAGTTTAAAATATTTTAAGTTCTAAAGCGAATACAAATATGACTGTATTCTTAAGCTATTTCTTTTATTTGTCTGGCAGAACGGAGTCTAACATTCTCCATGCTTTGTCAGCTGGTTCAAGACAGGGATTGGCCTTCGTGGCAAGCATCCTAGTCAATGTAATGGTTTTGTTAGCCGTGCTGGGCTTGGTCGATACCGCTTTGGAATGGTTTGGAGCCAGGGCTGGAATTGAAAACTTAAATTTTGAGGTATTTTATGCTAAGACTTAAAATTTCACCATAGACTGATTAGAACATATATGTCCACAGTGCAACGTTAATTTCTATAAGTATATGTAAGTTAGCATTATTCTGACAAACTCCCATTTAAGGTAACGTCACGCTAAAATTGGTAAAAAATAGTAAAATTTTGAGTTGAGTTTTTCAGTGATATTTAAAATCTGAAATATTTCTAGAATCTTAACTTTTTTTAAAATAGAACGCTAAAGTGAGATTTCATCCGATTTGTTTTTTAAATTATTAGGGCCGAGATTGGTACACCATATCACAGGCTATGACACTTGTTTTATTTCTACTAGTTGATGTGTCGTTTGCAACAATATGGAGTGCTTTTATAAATACCAAACTGAATTACAATTGTATATATACACTTTTATATTATCCAGTTATAACGACCAAAAATCAATATTTAAGCATGTCTATAATTAACCCCTTCAAAATCCTCCAAACATTCGTCGGCGTATGCTTTTTTTTCTGGTTTTCAGACATTTAATTTGAAGTCATCGGGTACTCTTAAAATGTCGCTGAAAATATCTAACCATTTTTCTGACCGAGTAATAACTTATTTCAGTAGCGAACCAATTTTGGTAGCGTGACGATATAATATTTAAATTCCAAACAAAATTACTTTATTCAATGACAGATATGATGATACCCGTGTGATATCTTTGCCTAATTTGCCTAATGAAACATGTTTATCTTTTTCAAAATGTTTATTTCATGAAATAAATTTTCCGTTTTAATTTAAGACTTAAAATATATCTTTCTACTTTCAGTTTTAAAACGATCCCTCTTATTTAAAAACCGAAACCAATACCTTATATTTTCAGAGATAGAATGATTCTATTTTCTATATTCAAAATAGAAAGATCCGTTTTATTTCCAGACTTAAACGAATCTTTCTACTTTCAGTTTTAAAACGACGATCCGTTTTATTTTTCTGACTTAAAACAAACCCTTTCATATTTCAGACCATTTCCTCCTACCTGTTTTATCCGTTTGCTTTCCTGATGGGTGTGGACGTGAGTGATTGTTCCAGAGTCTCAAACCTTCTCGGACTAAGGAGCATGATAGATTTGACCGTAGCTTACATACGAATGGGAGAATACGTCCAGAACAAAGTGGCCTTTAATGCATATTCATCATTATTTAATGATACCGTATTCTACCAGGACTCGTACGATATAGTTTTACCGCAGTGGAACCAAACTCTTGTGAAAGGTATCTTATCGGTAAGTGTTTCAGTGGTGTGCCAAATTATTTTTCGGAGTATATGCTTACAGAGGGTCGAACGTCCGAGGCGCGTAGTGGAGAAGGAGGGGAGGTATGGGATAATTTTGTTTACTAGGCCCTAGATGCAATCTCTCGTATTCTGAGAAATCCTTTTCGTCTGATTATTAAACAAGCAAAACCCGACTTTTTATATGAACGCTATCTATTTTTAAGAAGATGTTTTTCTTTTCTTTCCTTTTTTATGATTGATATCATGAAAAAAAAGAGAGAAAAAAATAAAAGATTTTTAAAAAAATCTTGAAAATTTTAGTGTATTCTTAACCATACAAGCATTCATGTATGCTACGCCACTGTGTTAATCGTATACATCTTCGACACGTATTGTGCAAAATACAATGCCAAAGCAAACTTTCATGCTTTTTTGCTGTGTATTTATGAAGTCAGTTGTATCAAATCAAAACGAAAATTGAAGTACCGAGTCACATCAATACTGACACTAACAAATGAGGGCCGAGTGGAAAGACGGATGGACGCAGAACAGAATGATTTTATACTTCTCAAAGAGTTTAAGCTAATTCATTGATGTTGACACTATTATACCTAATCTCAACGAAGATGTTAATAGAAAATTCACGGCACGTCTTCACTCAATTCGTCTGCTACTTTCCATGGATATTTGATAATGATTTCACTATATATGCTGTAGCACGTTTATATATGTGCAATAATATATTTGAACAGGGCATTCGTGAGGGTGGTCATAATTTGCAATCTTATTTCACTTTAAAAGCTATATTTACAAAAGAATGGGTGCCGACTTAAGGTCATGTAATGTTGATTAGCAGTTAACAATAATTTGAACATTAAAAAGTGTTTGAATATACAGTTAAATTTAATACGGCTATTGTCTTTGAGAGGGATAATTTCGGAACAAAATATCTAGTTTTTTCATTGAAACAAAATAAACGGGGAATGCTAATATATCGCACAATCATACACGTACACTTGATAATGTGTGTTATGATATTTTCAAAACACAATGTTATAATATTAATAATTAAGCATTCACTCGTGTTCTTCGCTTGGAAATGGAATGCGTTTGTGATAACTTCAGATCAGGCTTTAAAGTTCCATAGAGGCCTGCTACTGTACACTTGATAACTTTCGCGCAAGCTAATTTTTAAACATTCGCTCTTCACCGGTGAAATCTATATATGCTCAGTGTTACTTTTGCCCTTCTAATTACCTTCCCTGATATTCCAGGGGTTTACTTCAGGGGTTATGCTCACTTTTGCTCTCTTCACCCCTGGAATGTGTCATAGAAATATCGAAGGCTCAGTGTGTGCCACCTTGTGGCTGTGATGAGAAGACTATAGTTCGACCCCTTTTTTACCTGAGACCAATCAAACAGGTATCTTCGTATATGACATTCTAGAGGTGAGGAGAGCGTTAGTGAGCGTAGCCCCTGGATATCGAGGATGGCCCGCCACATGTAATTACTACATATTGTATTCTGTGTAGTATATATCCACTCTCATAATTGACTCGTCTTCCATATGAAGGGTACAAAAGGCGAAAGTTCAGATTATCGAAAACTTACAACAAGCTCTATTAGGTACAGTTATGACTATGAATTCGTGTAACTCCACCGCTAGGATAAAATATTTTGGGCTCATGTTTCTGCTATTTACAGGACCGTTCCGAAGTGATCAGTGCCTACGCCTTATGTGGATTTGCCTCCTTGTCTTCCCTTGGTATAAGTATAGGATCCATATCCGTCCTGGCCCCGAAATACATCGGAGCCGTCACCAAGTTCGCTCCCCGGGCAGTAATAGTCGGTACCATCGCATGTTATTTCACTGCATGTGTGGCAGGTAGGTTTTATATAAAACACGAATTCACGATTATTGTTTTGCTATTTTCCTGCATTATTTTCATCCTTCCTACGGCTAATCTAAAGGGCAAAATCATTTGAATTACTGCAACACAAACACTGAAGTAAACAACAGGTTTATTTTGGTTTGTGGTTTTGTTGTCACTGCCGGATTCTCTGTATGAGGATATAACATTACTTGGATTTCTCATAGATTTTCATGGCGGTGTCGTTGATGAAACAGAAGACGCTTACCCTTCCGTAAAAACTGGTCTTCCTCTCCTAGTAGTTGTTCATGGGTAATCCACGTAAAAGTTGCCTTGTATATATTTTGTCTTAGATTTGTCGATTTTGAGTTCTAATTATTGTTTGCTGACACTTCGGCATACTCTTGCTAATTTTGTCCTTTATTGTTGAAAAAGGTACCGTATTTATGTTTCTTGCGTTTTTCTACAGGTATGATATACCAGGAGGAATAGGGAGAGAAGCAAGCCAACGATGTCTCTCCATATCAGCTCAGAAAGTAAAGACGTCAATACATACGACAATAAATGAAACAAACAGGTCAAAAAAGTGTCCGTGTTATACTTTAAAGTAGATTGAAATACATTATAAATGTATGAACATGTATTTGATAGTTATCGGAGCTGATTGTACATATTTGATTTATTTAACAGTGAACTAAATGCAAAATGTGATTTTATTCAATAGTAAGCTGAACTGATTGTTTTGTTGATATATTTAACAATAATCTGAACTCAATGTATTTTATTAATTCAATTTTAAATTGATCTTTGTGAAATATATTTTATTTATTAAATAGTAAAATTAGTTGATTGTATCTATTCTATTTATTTAAAAGTGTTATGAAATAATTACATATTTAAAAAAATATTAATTCAATTTAGAGTTATTTGAATCAAAACAGTATATATTTTTATATATGAATCATTCATTTGAAATAAATGGGAATACCTAAGTGAGGTACCATTCATATCAATATTAGATTGTATGAAATTTTGTTTTTGAACTATATGCACCTAATATACTGTAGGTAGATATCATATATAAATTAATTGTATAATACCCATATGGTGCAGTAAACGTTTTACTTCATTTGCCTTTTTGCATCTACATTTCCCCCCCAAATCCAGTGATTATTTTACTTAACCTGGTTGGTTACCAATATTCGTAATGGACCTTAACCTTGTTTCTTTAATCAATTCTGGCCTCTGTTGTAGCCAAACATGGCAAACCAGTTTGCTGTATTCTACGTGTGTTTGGAAACACTTTAGAAATCGAGTTTTCATTCGTTTGGGTAATAGTACCAATGTTGAGTCTTAAATGGACGAAATAGCCATATGGCGCAGTAATATGTTTATTGTGTTTGTTCTTAGAGCACGTAGATAAAATCGTGAGGCCACCGGAGGTGGAGTCGAGATTTTATCTACGTGCGAGCGATGAGAAAATTGTTCTAACGACAAACACTGAAAATACTGTATGATAAAATATTTATCATCTATATATATATACTACTACCATAGATTTTTCTACATTTAAAAAAGTCAACTAAACACCATGTTTTCCAAATGACTGCTAAGCGAAATGGTCAACGATCGCCTGTCACAAACGTAAACAAATAGAGGTTTTCCGCGGAGGAATACAATGAATCTTAAAACTACGTGGATTTTTTTTAAACAATCTTATCGTCATTGGCTTTTCCGTATGTACATTTACACCTGAAATGGTGTTGTCATTCTCACAATGTTTTTTCATAACTTTGTATAGATATATGTTAATGACGGACTATTTTCCTACGTGGATCACTTTTGTGTGGACACTATTTCCGGTTTCGGACGTCATCTAGCGCGAGCAGACGTTCTTTTTTGAAGAAAAAAATACGTTCCCAAGTTGTTCATTAGTCGTTCTCAGCTTCTTTTCATACTGACAACCAATATGAATGTATCATGCTACCGGTAGGTGTACATTATGTATACGTCTCTGCTATTACTTGTATCCAATAACAGTGGGAAGTCCTTTGTCCTGAAGCTATAAGTGTAATTTTGACTTGTTTTCCAAAAGCGGTACAAAATCATCTAAATTCTGACTGATTGGGTCCGTCTAATATTAAATCTGAGGGAAATGAAGTTTTGTGATAACTCACAAGTATGTTTCGACCCTACAAATAGACCGATTTCATTCAAATCCGGCTGATCGGGTTAGTCCAATGTTCTACTACGGAAGAGCAGGTTTTGTAGAAATACAGGTAAACCGGTGACCTTTGGCCTCATCCAGCCAGCTCGGCTGCTTGCTGTTTGACGAGTAGCTAAAGTTATCAAAGCATGGTAAGCTTTACAGTTCTTTTCTTGTGTTAATGTATTGATCCTGTCGATCTATTCTCTGACTATACTGAAATGGTCAAAATATTTTGGAGATAGTTTCTAAAAAAAAAATTAATTTTTTTTTTTAATTCAAATATTGATAAAAACCTTCTTGCAAACTGTGGACCAGACTATATTTCCTTCTGTCATAATAACTGTAAAAATCTTTTCTGGAAAGATGTCTTTCTTGCATGGAAAAATCTTACTATTCTTGAGGAAAAATATACAGATTCAAAACAGATCTCCGACATGCCTATATGGTTAAACGAAAAAAATCAAAATAGATAATAATAGTGTTTTTTATAAGGATTGGTATAGGAAGGGAGTTGTAGTAGTTAATGACTTAAAAAAGGATAGCAACAACTTCTTCAGTTTTTTTGAATTAAGAGAAAAATATGGTGTTAGAGCAAATTTCTTACAATATCACGGAATTGTTACAGCTATAAGGGAGCTTTGCAGTCGGTGTAACTTGACCCATCCAAAAATAGACTATCCTTTTATTCCAAGAAAATTACAAATATTTGCTAAAAAACAGAAAGGTACAAAAGATTTTTATAATGTGCTTAGTAAAAATGATATAATTGCAAGTGGAACAAAAAAATGGAATGAACAATTTGAATTTGATGAAGGTGATTGGAAAATGATTTTTAAACTCCCTTTTTCTGTAACAAAAAATACAAAATTGCAATGGTTTCAATTTAGGGTTAATCACCATATTCTAACAACAAATTCGTATTTATTTAAAGTTGGGTTAGTAGACAGCCCTTATTGTAACATTTGTAAAACAGAAATTGAAACGATAGAGCATACGCTATGGAACTGTGAAAAAGTTCAAATTTTACTTGTTAACTTAGAAAATTTGTTGAATTCACTGTTCATTCCATTTGAATTTAATAAGAAATCTTTTCTTTTTGGTACATATCGTCAGAATGGAATAAACAGAAAAGTGGATAATATGATCATCTTTACAATAAAACAATATATCTACAAAGCAAGGTGCCTCAGGAACGAACTCTGCATTATTGCCCTGAAAAATACACTAAAAGATACATATACAACTCAAAAATACATTGCTAGAAGTAAGGGAGAAAGCTACTTAGACCAGTTTCAAAGAGAATGGGCCAAATGGCAAAACTTTTTTTGAAACACCCAAACTTGAAATTACGACTGATTTACCATAAGTAACTTATCAATTTATAAAAATATTTGTCGTATTGAGTAAATGTAAATATTGATTACGCTCACACTGACAGCTAGCTTAGAAATTCAAAATGTAATACAAACTTTCAACAATCCTACCTTTCCTTTTTGATAATTGTATGGATGTTTGAATGATAATGAATGAGTGTGTGTATGTCTTTATATATGTTTGTGTTATGTCATGTTATGTATATATATTGTAACTGTATTGTATACTAATGAAAAAATTTGAAAAAAAAAAAAAAAAATCTGACTTGCAAAACACATGCATTGTTGTATTTTTTCCATACATATGGCTAGTTAAGAAAGTATCGAAGTGAATGCTTTCTCTGTCTATTAGTTGGCTAACCACAAAAATTATCAGTGTCTCCATGCCATGTAGAAACTTACATCCTGCGAGTTTGAATTTGACAACAGTCTAACTATTCTCCAGGAAATTACAAGGAGGATTCCCTTCTCATGATATAGTAATGTGTGGAGGCTGGAACTGTGACCTACAAACCAAAACTCCCAGGCAGACAAGGCTTGAATCTTGAGTACATGTGAATATTCAACGAAACCTACTAATTTACATTTCTGCATCCGAACAATAAGGAGAGGTCAACCATCGACTATAATTGTATACACCAGACCCTATTACAACGTTGTTGTCACTCTTCTACCTGGAAACTAGATTTACTTCACATAGATACGTCTAATCATTATCCAATTGTCTCTTGTATTCAAGTCATCCTGTTAAGGAAATATATTCCTGCTATGAGAACGGTCACTCGGCGAATTGACTGGAGCAAGGTTGATATTGTGAAGTACCGTTGGAAATGCTGGAAAAGTTCGATTTTTGTGAACCATCTGCAGAAACTTGTTCTCCAACTCAATGACATCCTACTGAATGCGGCATCGTCTGTTCTACCACGCCTCAGTGTTATCAGGAGAGGGAAACATGTCTGGAGTAGTGACATCAGCAAAGCAAATAGAGATAATAAAGACGCTCTAAACACATGGAAGCTGGCAGGCAAACCTGCAAATGGGACCATAGCACAACGCTGGTCCGAAACAAAGAGGTACTTGAGAGCATGTAGGAGAATAGAAATTGTTAGGAGGAGATTCTCAAATGCAAAACCTACTAGACTCCAGACGAGATGATCCAAAGATGTTCCATAAATTAATTAACAAAAAGAAATCTACAGGCTGAACTATGGGTAGATGATGAGAGACACTCAGAACCTATGGAAATTCTTGATGGATTGACAAAGCATTTTGCAAAGTCATCTTGTATTTATCCTAAGAAACCAACACCAATGGATATTGAATATGACGTAGATGCTATACACCTGGTATGTAAGTCACAACCAGTTCAGCTTGAGGAACTCGTTACCGAGAACAAGACTAAATAGCAACAAATCAGCAGATGTATATGGCATCTCAGCGGAACATCTCAAATATGGTGGTATCAGACTCATCCATGTTCTTACTACACTTTTTAATATAATAATCAGCGAAGGAGTTGTCCCTGATGTCCTTAAATCAGGAAATGCATCACCTGTTTTTAAGAAGAAAGGCTCTTAGTCTCGAAGCAAGAACTATAGGGGAATAACTGTATTACCAGCAGTACTCAAAACCTTAGAAACCGTCCTATTAAGCAAGTTGAGAAAGCCTTCAGTCCCCAACAGAACCAACTACAACGAGGATTCACCAAAGGCACTTTACCTCTCTCCAGTAGTTTCATTCTCCATGAGGCGATCGCTGCTAACCATGGAAAGAACACATATATAGCCTTCCTTGATGCAAATGCTGCTTTTGATACCGTAAACCACCGTCTTCTCGAAAGGAAACTATATTTACATGGCGTAACAGGTAAAACATGGGAGATTATCCATGATCTGAACTGTAATGCAACCAGCTCAGTGAAATGGCAAAACAAACTATCCAAATGTATTTCTGTACAACAGGGAGTTAGACAATGCGGGATTATCGACACAGAACTCTATAAACTGTATATTAATGATCGATATGTTGGATCGGGTGTCGAATGCCGGTATTGGCGCGTAAATCGGTCTAACACCATGTGCTTCACCCACTTGTGCAGATGACGTAGCCCTGATAGATTTTTCAACGAGTGGCTTGCAGACTCTGAT